CCTCCCTCCCTCTCTCTCTCTCTCTTTTGGTGGAACCAGGGATTGAACTCAGGCCTTTGTGCTTGCCAGGCAAGTGCTTATTCTGCTGAGCTATCTCCCTGACCCCAAGGAGGGAGTTTTAACGCCTTTGGCGAGGGAGCTGCCCTTTGGAAGAGCCAGCTGCTCCTCACCCAGGGAGCCAGTAGAGCCTCCGAACACCCAAACACCCGGGAACAGGTCTTGTTCCTTGCAAGAGCCGGCCAGGCAGCCGCATACTCCGCACTCCCTATTGTCTGGGGACCACTTTTACACCTTGCTAAAAGGCAGATGTCTCTCAAAGCCCTGGCAACCACATTTGCAAAGGGGTCCAGACCTACTCGGGAAGCAAAGGACAGGACCCATGCTCTCTCGCGCGAGACAATGTCATCAGAAGCCGCCGGTGACCAAACTGAAGTCACCCAAAGGGAAAAGTCTTCGGGCTGCCTGCCCCACCTCCTCACTATGAGGCAGGCCTCTGCCCTGGAGTCCTAGGGGTGCTGGTCCTGGCAATGGGCTTAGGCTGGGCTGTGGGTGCATCGTTTCCACAGCCAGGCAAAGTGGCAAGAAAAGTCCACACAGCAGGGTCTGCTGCGGACCCGACACCCAGGCTGCCCTGGGATGTGTTACTGCCTCACCCAGGAAGCCCAGAGCCCTGGAACAAGCAGCAGTAGGGGCAGGAGGCAGGGTGCAGGGTGCAAGGGCGGGAGCCAGGGAATAGCTGGTGAGAAAGAGCAGGCACAGAACTGGAGGTCGTAAAGAGAAGGGCCCGGATTGTTCCTTTTCTCTCACCCTGCCCCCACCTGCCCCGTGATGGGGACTGAAGCCAGGGCCTGCACAGTAAGCCATAGCCCCAGCCCTTATTTCTAGACAGGATCTGGCTAGACTGTTAGGTTGCCCAGGCTGGGCTCAAACTTGTCATGCTCTGGCCTCAGCCTCCCACAGTGCTGGACTTAGGGGTGTGCACCGCCACACCAGCTTATTTCTCCTACTTTTAACAACTTGTGTAATTAGAGCGGGAAGAGACGGAGAGGAAGAAGTAGGGCAACCCATCCCTGAGAGTAGGGACTTGGCCGAGGGCCCCCGGATACCCCGGGTGGCTGTTTCATTTCCTCAGGTATAAAATGGCCACAGGGACTACTTCCTGCCCGTGTCACAGAAGGGCTGAAGACACGTGCAGAGAGGGCGTCCTTGGCATGGACCTAAGGCTTTCAGAGCACTACCACGCGTTACAGCACTGAGCAAAACAACAAAATAAAAGGCTGCGCACAGAGGGTTCTAAATCGCTTCAGCATCAAAGAAAACCACTGCCGTTTCTGGGCCCTCACTGGGCCCTCCTCCTGTCACCTCCAACAGGGAGACAGCACCATTGTCTGCCTTCCATGGCTGGGGTGAGAATCAGACGGCGCGGCACACAGAAGCTCCTGGCGCAGGGACGTGGGAGAGCTGAGCACCAGGGGCTTCACGCTCCCTTCTCCCGGGGCAGGTGGGGCCGCTAACCCTCTGGCCAGTGCGCACAGCCCTGCAAGCAGAGTCCTTCTTGACTCGCCTGTCTGTGGGAGCTCACAGATAGGAATCACAGCTCTGAGGTTGGGGCTGCGGCCTACAGAGGGCCGCAGGCGGGGGCTGAGGAGCTCAGCCTGGACGCGCTGGCTCGGGAGCTGAACCCCAGGCCTGCCTGCAGGTCCTGAGAGTCACAGCAGGATGAGCACCTGTGCTTCTTTCTGTGTCTTCCACTCCATCCCTTTGCGGACACTCAGGTCCTCCTTTTGCATTTTCCCAACTGCGACCTGGCAGGCCCCTGTCCCCCCACACCAGCTGCTCACCTGGCTGCCGTCCTTGGCTGCCACATCAGCCATGTTGTTTCTCCGGGCCTGGTGCACAGTCAGTGCAGCCCGAGTGGCCCCGCCGGCCACACTCACAATGCACTGGGTGGGGAAAGGGACGAGGGCAGGTCAGAGCAGCCCCACACTCTGTGGCTAAATACCCGACATGTACCAGGTGACCCCACAGCACAAGCCTGAATGCTGTCCTTGGTGTCCTTCTTGCCCTGCACCTCCCCAGGCACACAGTCACCTGAACATTCTGTCTTCTAGAGGTACCATGAGTACAGGGCCCAGGGAGCTCACGCACAGCACCACTGAGGCAGGAAGCTGGGTGCAGAGGTCCCCCGGGCTGGGTACCTTGGCCAAGTTGCTGATGCTGATGGTCACAGTGAAGCAGAATGGCAGGGCAGGAGCCACAATCTCTAGGAACATGGCTGCATCATTGAGGATGTCAGCAAAAAGTCTGGGGAAAGGACCAGGGGTGCGAGGCCACCAATAAAACAGTATTCAAGCTAAAGGGCTTGCCCCTCCGCTCTGCCCCAGCCCCTCCTCACCTCCACTGCTTTGCATTACAGTCCAGTTTGCTCCTGTTGGGGATGAAAGGGAGCTTAGACTGAAAGAAGAATCACGCGCTAGGCAGGGTGGGTGGTTCTAGCCCTGGCAAGGTCTAAAGGGCTCCGGGAGAAACACCCCTGAGCAGACAACTGTCCTCAGTCTTGTTTCAGTAAGGGCAACCCCCAAAAATTCATACACTGGTCTGGTAAACAATACATTTACTATAACGGTGCACGGCACAGGTAACTAGGCCAGACAGGCCTGGGCTGCGGCCATAACACAACGCTGGAGACCTCTCACTGTCTGCGCCTCCCTGGCTTCCACACATGCACTTGGAGACCACTTCTCTCAGCTCCCACTATCAGGCGATGCTGCAGCTCCCGGCCCAGCTCAAAATGTGCAGCCTTCACCAAGCCTGAACTTGATAACCTCCTGGAGGGAAAGAGAGCATTCCTGGGGAGGGGCACGCCACCGTGCAGGCATGCAGGAGCTCCTCAACAAGGTGCTTGCTCTAGGGTTCTGTCCAGTAAGTCAGCCTGACACCACATTCAGTCTCACCATACAATGGTATTACAAGAACCAGAGAACATAGTGCTTGTGGGGTGCAGTCTGGGCTAGAGGCTTTCGCTTTACAACTCAGGCTGGCCTTGATCTCACTTTGTAGCCCAGGCTGGTCTCGAACTTGCAAAGACCCTCCTGCTTCATCCTCCTGAGTGCTGGGATCACAGACGTGTACCAACACACCTGTCAAATGAGCATTTCTTAGGTGCCATGTGATGTGTACTTTGCAGACCATCTCGCTGACCGTGACACATGAAGAGACCAACCTGGCGGTGGTCAGAGTCACAAGGTAGGACAGACGCTGGTACTGCTGCTACCCAACACTGGGGAGAGCTGCCGGAAGTCCTCTGCCCGGGCAAAGAAACTCACCCTTTCCACCACGCAAAGATGATGCGGCCCAGCATGCCAGTTGAATCTGGGGGAGAGAAGGCCTTGGTAAAGAACAAACAGGGAAGAAGGGAGTGTGGAGCCCGGCACACCCAGCACCAGACAGGCCACAGCGGCCTCGGCAGCTCAGTCCGGCACGGGTAAGTTCTGGATGGACATGCAGTGCTGAGACCCAGCAGCTCCTTCCTGCGTCCTGGAGAGCACCGTGAGCCCACTGACCTCCTGTCTGTGCTGACGTGAGGCCCACGAGGGTGCACGGTGGCCCTCCTCCCTTCTCACCTTCACCCCTTCCCTTCAAGTACATAGTGTTCTAAACAAATGTCCACTCTTCCAGCTCAGATTTGTTTTGTTTTGGTACCAGGATCACACTCAGGATCTTGTGCTTGCCAGGTAGGCGCTTATGCCACTGAGCTAGCGCCCTAGCCCAGTTCAGATTCTTATACTGACTTAATGTAGTGACGTGAACATGGCAAGGTTATTTCTACTAGCTGAGAGAGGACCTCCCGGGTCAGACTTCACAATCCTGCCCCGTAAGTGGGTGTCCTCCCCGGGTTCCTGACGAAATGGGGGCCTCAGCCACCTTCCTGTGTGTCACAAGGAGCAGTGTGCAGAGATCTCGTACAAGCCTGGAGTCGGCAGCACGGTACCCTCTCTGCTACCTGCACGACAATACTGTTCACTAGAATGAGAAACTCGGTCCTTTTACCTATCCTTTTTTGGGCTCAAAATTAATAGAGCTGTGAGATCTACTAGGTAGTTAGCAAACTGTATTTGGCTTCACTCTAAAACCTTTAATGGGCAAAAAAAAAAAAAAAAAAAAAAGTGTAATTGAGAGTGGGACACAGAGTAAGCTGACCTGCGTCTCAACTGTGGACCTAAGTGATTGTAGAGAAGTTACTTAGCCTACCTGTGCCTTAGATTTGCCATCTAAACAATGAACTGGCTACTGCAAAGATTAAGATACACAGGTTGTCAAGATACTAGCTGCTGGAGTATTATTACTATTACTAGTTATGACAATTACCCTAATTCCACGAGAGGTCTGTAATGGAAAAAGATAACATCAAAAAATCGCAAGAGTTTTAGAAGAAACTCTCCATATAGGTTTCCTATGTTTGATGGAAACAAATTTGTAAAATCCTTTCCAATTGACAACATGGGTATTTTTTTATATCTGAAAATGGCCTTATTTTTTCTTAATAACATATCTGAGCAAAGTGTACACAGTCAACATGCCCATGATAAAGACTGGGTGCTTAGAAATGACACAAACACTGGCCCAGCTGCGTTCCAAAACCAACAGGACAGCAATGGGAAAGAGCCAACTTCAGCACAGCGCATGATCCCGGAAGTGGACTGCGGTGATGAATCTACTGGGCTCACACCCAGGTCCTGTCACTGAACACACGCGTGACCTTGGTCAAGTCACTTCTGCCTCAGTTTCCTCATCTACAAGATAGGGATAACGGCAAGATCTTTCACTACTACGAAGTTCAAATCAGTACACAGAAAGACTGACCTAATAAGCATGGCCAGCATGAACTATTATTGTTACTACTGAAAAATGGGGGGGCCTGTGGGTTAGCTTAGTTGTTTAAGCCCCTGCTTAAACAGTCAGGCACAGGGGACCGCAGTTTGATCCCCAGCTCCACATGCCTTGCCAGACCCACCCTTAAGGCAGCCTGAGCTAGTCAACAAAAAAAAAGAAAGAAAAGAAAAAGAAAAATGAAGTGCTGGTGAGATAACTCAGTCAACTAAGCACCTGCTTAGGCAAACACAGAGGGCAGGATGGATCTGCACACCACGTGTCACACCAGCACCGTCCCTTGGCGCACTGAGCCAGCCACCCAGACTGGCTGGGCCTGTAATCCCAGCGCTGGGGAGGTTGAAAACAGGAGGGTCACTGAGTCCAAGCTGTGTAGTGAGACCCTGTACCAAATACATTGAAAAAAAAAAAAAAGGCGATGGCCAGGACAAGCCACAGGTCATCGCTGCTTCTGTTGCTTTCCAGAACGGTCAGAGAAAGCATCTTTGCAAACAGGACTCGTCTGGGCGGCTTGCTCCATCTGAAGTGTAAGTGCCCAAGCAGAAGTCTCCTGATCTCCGAGGTTCAGGGAGCCTCATGAGGTGTGGCCAGGAAGATGCACACGTAGCTTCCCCTTAGGTCGGACTGAAATAGCCTGAAATAGCGCTGGGGGCAGGAGTGAATGACAAGACAGAGAGACAGCTGGGGACAGGATTTCCTTTTCTTCTCCACTTCACTCTCTTGGTGGCAGGGGACCAAATTTTATCCTTTCCTTCCTTACTGATTTTCAAGAAGCTGAACACTCTCAACAGATGGTCACTATAATTATTACTGGACATCGAATACTCCAGCAGATTCAGAACATTTTTCATCATTTCCAGAGCCTTGTGTCTCCCAGTTAGGACCAATTTCTTTTCCCCTGGACCTAACCAATTTCCACCATCCTGTGCTGCTGGCAGTCTTATTAAATAAACATTCTCAATAAAGGTAAAGGGGAGGGGACTTAAATTATGGATGTGGGATACCAGTTACTTATTTGTACATTTTTAAGACAGGGTCTTGCTATGTAGCCCAAGCTGGCCTGGAACTGAGGCAATCCTCCTGCCTGAGCCTCTCACAGGCTGGGATTGGAGGCGCACTCGCACCATCCTGCTTGGCCCGTGGGATCCAGATGATCTATACAGGAAAGGAGCGCAGCTGCGCTGGGCTGGTGTGCAGGATGAGGCTACACCGGCTATGGGTACAGAGAAACCTTCCAGGCACCAAGGGGACCCGGCTCCTGTATGCTGTCGGATCATGCAGCCGGCCCCCAAAAGTACACGTCACGGCTGCGGGGCAAAGGAGGGCTCGGAGGACCGAGAGCCGGGAGGGGGCGGGCCGAGAGCCGCGGGTGGCACCGGGCGCGCTCACCTTTCACAAGCCAGGTGGCCGTGGCGGCTGCCAGGGAGGCGTCTGCGTTCCCCACCCCCAAGCCCAGCATGACCGCGTGGGTGGCCAGGGCGCCGGAGAGGCTGGAAGCGAAGGCCTGGGGAGAACGGGGAGGGTGGTCTCGGTCTCCCCCCGCTCCTTCCGTCCGCCCCGCGCCCCCGCCGCCGGGCTAACCTGCACCGAGTCCCACAGCTGGTACGGCAGGTAGTCCGCGCTGACGCTGTCGGGGAAGCCTTGCGGCAGCAAGACGGCCTTGAGGCCCGAGAGCGGCGCGGCCGCCGCGGACGCCCCTGCGCCGCGCCCGTCGGGCTTCGCGGGGAAGGCCTGGGAGATGCGCCACCACGACGCGGCCTCCGCCTCCCACCGCAGGCTGCCGTCCGCCGCTGCGCCGCAGCCCCGCGCCGTCCCGGAGCCGAACCGCTCGGAGCACAGCGCGGCCGCCCTCCCCGTCGCGCCGGCCATCGCGGAGCTTTCCGCTCGAGTGCTGCCGAGAAAAAAAAAAACGACCGAGCCGTGTTTCCGGCTCGGCGATGGCGGCTGCAGAGGGGCAATCTTCCTTCGTACAGCCGGCAGCCGCGCCACTGGGCACTTTGCCCTCCAGGCCCAGCCTGGGCCACCGCGGGGGCGGTGCAGGAACGATAAGGACCCCTTGGTCCGAGGAGAACAGGGCTGAATTCCTTGTGCCTTACAACTTTCAGTAATGGAGAGAGGCAAAGAAAGTCCCTTTTTTTATTTTGGCGGAGCCAGGGATTGAACTGAGGTCATTGCTCTTGCCAGGGAAGCGCTTATTCTCTGAGCCATCTCCCGGCCCCTTTACTCTTTATTTTATCCCCAGTAGTACCTCACTTATAGCAGGCGCTCAAGGATATTTATGAATGAATGCGTGGCAGTTCACAGAGCTTCTAAGTTGAATGCCCAGGCTTGGGTTTCCCAATAGACCAGGTTGGCCAGGGGCCTCCAAATAGTCATTAGTGAGGGCAAGGGAGATGGCTCAGTGGAATAAGTGTTTGCCTGGCAAGCACAAGCGCCTGAGTTCAATCCCTGGTTCTGCCACACACACACA